TTGGAGGTCATCTGCTCCAGCCCTTCTGCTTATGTAGAAAGATGAGTTGCAGAACATGTGCTCTTAAAAAAAAAAAAAAAGGATAGAACTCTTGTTGCACCAGAAATCATTACATGAAAAACTCATGAAATAGCACAAGCGTGACAAATTACATGGCAAAAGTTCAAAATCAGTAATGGCTGGTGCATAAAGATGATGTGTCATAATGTTTTTTGCCTAAGGAGAGGAATTTGTTTTGCCATGATCTGCCTTCTGACTTCACCAAAAAAGTCACTGCACTCCAGCAATGCGTGATTGGATTGCATAAAGGTCATGATTACCTGCTGAGCCAAATGGGAAATGCAGATAAGACACCAGTTTCCTTTCATGAGCCATTCAATTACGTCATTGAAGAAATAGGCACAAAATCCATCATCATCAAAACTTTGGGGAATGAAGAAATGTGCATTACAGTAATGCTGGCAGTGTTAGCAGATGGCATAAAATTGCCACCGTATGTGATCTTGAAGCGGAAAACAATGCTGAAGGACCAGCTGCCTACTGGAATAATTGTTAGGTGTCAAAACCAAGGATGGATGTCTACAGACTTAATGAAGGATTGGTTGAACATCATTTGGAACAGGAGACCAGGTGTGCTGGTATGCAAAAGGAGAATGCTTGTCCTGTATCCTAGGTACATTCAAAGGCTATCTAACACCAGCAATGAGGAATATAATTGGAGGAAAGAATGCAGCTCTTGCAGTTGCACCAGGAGGAATGTCACAACTGCAGGTGCCTGATGTAGTAGAGAGAAAGCCCTTTAAAGAATGTTTGTAGCCCTTATGGCTCTTGGCATGGGATCCTGCAGTAACTCCTACAGGGAAGATAAAGAAGTCCTAGTGCAGCACTGCTTTTTCTATGGATTAAAACAGCATGGGATCAGATAAATCCAGAAGTTGTCACTGAATGATTTAGGAAATACTGTATTTCAAATTCCATAAGAGAAGCCAATGATGGTTTGAATTCAAAGAAGATGAGAGTAGTGAAGACACTAAAAGTGGGGAAGAGTTCAAAGATGGTGAAGAGAGTGACAGCGATGGAAATGATTGTGCCAGATGGAAAATCTAAACTGCAGTAGTAATAAACCATAAAAAAGGAAAATAGACTAAATTCAGGCAAATCATTAGTGAAATTTCTATCCTTATTGTGTGTGATTACAGATATGTAATAAACTTCTATGTTTTTAATCTTTTTCTTCAGGATGTCATTTTTAATTCAGCGTCTCTGTCCGTGGGTAAAATGAGATATTGCTTATAATTTGAAAATGTTTGCGGAAAATTTTATTAGACAATATTCTGAGAAAGCAACATTAGATGAGGAAATCTGACAAGACAGAAAAAGCAATTTGTCTCCAAACTATTTACCAATCTGTTATGTAAATAGAACATTTGTCAAATCATTAAAAAAAATAGCCAACAACAAACAAACCACTTTTCAATTGGTATTGCTACTGGACTGAATGATAAAATTCCCAAGATCAGAGAAGACAAGGAGGAGGATCTGTTGTGAATAAGGGTTCAAAGCCTTGCCCATTGTTTTTATTTCAGTGTTGACATTCTTCAAAACCCAAGTAAATAACCCAAATATTGCTTTGGCAACATGTAAAGTGAGACACAAAAAGGCAGGCCAGCCTGGCTCTCTCACTCATCCTCAAAACCAACAGAGCTGCCACTGCACACCTTTATCTCTGAAAATCTGAAGATCTGGAGAGTCATAGAGTTGTTCACAGACAAGGCTGCTTCAGAGGTAACTGGAGAAGGAAGTCTTTGATCTTTATTGATACCTTGCCAGAAAAGATCCATCTCTTGTGTCTTCACTTACTTAAATGAGGCTGATTTCTACAAGCAACAAATATAGAAGGTTAGAGCTGAAAGCCATGAAATTCTGACCCTGGAAATCTATAGACAAGGCAGAACCCAAAGCTGTGCTGTGGGACAGTTTAAAAAGCCAGTGGTCAACTTAAAACTCAACACATATCTGTGCTAGAAAAGGACTTGCGTTGCAGCCTTTTGCATTGGAGAGCACCATGCAGTTGCCTGCGCTGGAGAAAATGAGAGGCAGAGATACCAGCAACAAGGTCAAAAAAAGACAGGCACCAACAACGTGTTTCCACTAACTTCAGTGGACTTTGGATCAGGTCCTTTGCAAATACTTTCTAACCCAAAGGTCAGCACTGGAAAATTTGGATGTTTCATATTAGTTTGTTTTTTATAAAAAATTATTCTCAAGCTAAAGATTTCCGGGCATACAGTGCTTTTCTTGTTGCTGTGTGGAGGAGACCAATAGTCTTCTGCTGTGAAATACAATTGCATTTTAACTGGCTCCCCAATACATTTATCTCTTCAGCTATATGTTGCCTTATTTATCCATTTCTATCAGTTTTTCATTACTTTTTTTTCTAAACATTGGTACTGTATAGAAGCCAGGAAAATTCAAGGCAAGTTCCAAAGCTGGTCATTTTTTTCTTTCTTTTTATAATGAAGACTCCAAACCAGCACTGATGATTTCAAAATGTATGTCTACAGTTTATAAGCACATCGACCTCCCTGCCATTCTGTGATGGAGCCTTAGAAATCACACAATGCCTGTCACTATTTTTCAGATCTTTAATAAATCTGGCTCAATGATTTTCTGACAATTCTCTACCAAAATTATTCAGGCAGACTGAGACACTCTTAAAAAAAAATAAAAAAGAAAGAAAGAAAAAAGTCAAAAACAATGCTGTATGGATTCAATTTTGAGTCAATAAGTTGTTGATTAATCTGGTTCATGGTGTGTATAAACTCAGGCTTAGCTCTATTGGTAATCATCTCCAGAGTGCCATACAGCTGCATGCTTTCATTTCACACCAAGGGAGCAGGGATTAAATCCCTAATGGAGAAGATATATAAACAGTTTTAGTCTCTGCAACAAGCACAGTCCCCATGGCGGCATATTTGTGTATACAGCATGCAAACCTGTGGAGGAAAAAAAAAAAGAAAAACCATGAATAGTGAAGACACAAACAAGTGAGGGAGAAACCCAAGTAGAGTAGACAATAAGTTTAGCAGGGTACATTGCTATTTGTTAGTCACCTACACCAGCCACACTCAGGTGGCATAGCATAAAATATCTCTGCTGCTCTGAGTGACAACATATGTGTGGTGACAGTCTGAGACAGTGAGTTGTTATGTGCAGCCATAAACTCCTAACAGCTATGCCTGTTCATTACTGTGCCTCCCTGACCATTAAGAGGTTCTGTAAAATGAGAGTTTGCCCAGACCAGTATTTTCTATCATATAATCCTCACAAAGCTGTACTAAGATCTCTAATATAGCACTGTTAAACACAATGTATTTGTAAGGCTTTCTTTTTTTCTTAGAGAATTTTAATCCCATTTATTGGTAACTAGCTTTTAAAATGACATTTTTCCTTGCTGCATTTAGCTTAGTCCAAGGGGAAAAAGAAAAAAAAAAAGATGCCAGATGTCACAGGGCCAATAAGCAGGTGGGCCGAAGCTTCTGTACCAATTCAAACTGGCATCACATCAAACCTGGTGGGTATAACCTTTAATTCAGTGCTTCCCTGGCACCAGATCTAGTGCCATCTGCTTAGCTTTGCTAAGCTGTGCTTGTTTCTGTGCAGGGATGATGCCAACAATGCAAACTGTCTCCTACATGTGCAGAGAATCATCGGTGCAACTAGTTTTTCAAGACCCATATGGTGGCATCTGCAAATGTACACTGTCAGCATTGCTACTCGTACCACCCTTCGTGTTTAAGAATGGAAAGAGAGAGCCCTGCTTTGCAATTCACATCAAGCTGAAAGGATATTCTCTGTGCTCCTGTTTTTAAGGGCAACCCTGGGATGAAGGGAACATGTAACTTTAAAAGAGGAAGTAGTTTAGAAATCAGGCATGGGAACTGGAGAAAATCAAGTAACAGCTGGGAAAAAAAATTATGATTTTGTAGAAACCCTTTTAACTCATTGCATGAAAGCTTCTCCAGTGTAGTTAAAGCCAAAATATTCACTGTATCCTGACTCTTGGGGCTATGAAATAGGTTCAGTTCCAAGTCACCTCAAGACACGGACACTTCCACTTGCATGATTGGATGTCATCCTATCACCCCTTCTCCAAGACATGGTACCATCAGAGGGATGGAGTAGGTCAGAGGGACAGAGTAGGTAGAGGCTGCTCCAGCACAGCTATTTTGGTGCTTCTTCCAGACATTAAGAAGAATGCTACTGACATGGAGTAGGGGATGAAATGATAAACCTACGCATGAAGATGAGCAAACCAGAGCTATTAAAACTCATTTCAAGCTCTCCAATTTAAGTTTCTCTTTGTTAGAGAGCAGCAATGCCTCCTTCCCACTGCAAGGGCCAGGGGCGTGTTTGTGGCCATGGTCAGTTGATGCCTCCTCCTCTCCTCTTCCCTGCCTGCTACCACACACTCTTCTTGAAACTGCAGGCTTTGCAGATGCTTTGCAGAGCTGAAAGGTGTGCGTGGTGGTTTGGAGGGGAAGGGCAGAGAGGCACCATCTTTGCTCACACCTCTGAGCGTTGGCTTGTCATTTTCCATTCCTTCATAATTTGGCCACTCAGACCTTGCCACTGGCTCTGATATGTTACCACCCATCACTAACGTCAGTAAGCAAGTTTTTGACACGCTGCTCTGCCAACCATCATCAAAACACTTCTGTGCCATCAGGAAAAGTACATGTTGATCACAAAGAGCAGCTCTCCTTACAGAACACTGATTAATTGCTCTCACAGAAGGCCAGAAAAACTGGCTCTGAGGGGTCTGAACAAAGCCCCTTCCTTTGGATTGCAGATGCTGTGGTGGAATGTTAAATACAAATAAAAGGGTGTTTTTTTGGTGGAACAATTTTCCACATTTGATTTCATGGAAATTTACTACTGATCTAGCAGTCTTCAAAAAAATCACATTTATATAGAACATAACTCTACCTGATATTGTGGCAAATCCTTCTTCTCTTACTCCATGTTCCTCTGAATTCCAAACAGTCCTGTAACATTTTTAAATGAGGAAAAGATTAACCCAGCAGTTTGGGAATTATGAAGCCTGCTACCATTTTCCTCTGAAACCTCAAGCAATTCTCTATTCCTACAACAATAACATGGGCTCCCCCCTCCTTCCCCTTCAGTGTCATTGCACTCCCACTGCATCAGTAATATTACCCTCTCTGGGTCAAATTCTGCTTATAGGTCAAAGACAGGCAAAAATTATTCTTAATTTGCACAAAAGTTATGAACCATCACTAATTCATGGCTTGGTTTCAAGATGTTTGGTTAGAACATGTAACAAACTATGCCAGTTTTACTTTTTCTTTATTTTTAATTCTACCAATGGGGTTGTCTTCCCTTTATTTGGAGTAAGATAACTGATCAGCACCAAGCACAGCTGCAAGCCACGTCAGTGGTAATGAGTGAGGACTTTTTTGTTGCTGTTATGAACTTGCAGATAGCATTAAACTGTGACCTTTAAATCACACTAGTCCAAAACTGCCTTATTTTATTTTTGCACTCCATATATTCTTTTCCTTGACATTCTATCTTCTGAAAAAAATATAATTAAAGATTATAACTAATAGAAATTCAAACTTCTTTTATGGAAAGACCAGCATCTTTTGGGCAGAAAGATACAAGTAGAAGAAATTTTCATTTGTTCCTTTGACACACTGACAAAGGATTTATGCCATGGTCATCTGGCTCTCAGTATTAAACTGTAATTTCTTCCTCTAAAAAACTTCAACATGATTGGTGTACAACCTGTATGAAATTTCTGAAGGTCTCATCATGTACACTTCCACAAACAGATAAGAAAAAAAATTGCACGTGTTGAAGTTTGATACGGATGTTGTTAGTGCGTTGCAGAAATCAGTTAATTGCCCAAACCCACTGCTTGCACTGTAAAGCAGCATTTTTGTTTTTACAAGAAAAGATTACTTGCGAATACTCCCTCTTGTGATCAAAGCTAGAAAACCAATGGAATCATTTCCTGCTGGTTCAAATCTTCCTGATTGACATTGTTCAAGTGTTACAAATAGCCTGCATGCAGGATTTTTAAGCTCTTCCATTATTTGTTCTTGTAAAAGTGAAGGTTGCCTTTCAGAGACATTAAAAAAAAGGCTCATTCATGTCCTGATAAGGCATTGCATATGCTGAACTTCATTTTTCATTTCATTACTCATGTGAAGAGGACATATTTAAAAGGATGTATTTGTTTGTCCTTTTCCAGTTGATAAGACAATATTTTAAAATTGCATTGGTTGATGAGTCTTCAAGGAAATAACGGAGTGTTTGAAACAACAACAACAAAGTTCCTTTTTTTCATCTTATTGTCTTCATTGAGTTTAAAAATATACTTTATTTTGACGTAAATACCTCTAACCTTGAATTTCACCCACTGAACTAGGGTAGCTGCTGGATGTTATGAGGTTCACAATACAGCACCATACTTGGACTTTCTAGAAGAGTGATTAAAAGGCATACAAAGATCTAAAAGATAAAAACAAAATTCATAATCCATGTTTTAAAGGTCTATTAGGCTGCCTTTTTCTGCTTAGCCCAAAAGAGATCCTGGCCTAAGAAAATTCATTTTAACCCCATGAAATGCCACTTGAGTCCTCATTCAGAAAATCCAAGTTTTCAAAGATTCAATTGTACCTCTTAGCTAGTTTTTATTTTTCATGAAAATGTTAATTAGGCCCCTAACTGTGCCTTGCACAGATTTAAGTCTTAAACTTAGTGTCCTGATATTTCACTGAGAGTTTACCATCAGTGTATACTCATTGTTTACTTCATGGCTCACTAGCTGTGCTCTACCATTGGTTTTGTTCTAGCAGTCACCATGGAAGACAAATAACACTTCACAAATCAAGTCTTAGGAATGATTTGATGAAGAGATTTTTTTGTTTGTATTGTTTTGATTAAGAAATTTTTTTGTTTGCTTTGTTTCGATGAAGACAAAATATTGGTTAAAGACAAAAATTGGCTAAGGAAATTAGAAATTAAATACTGAAATTTTGATCCATTTATGCAATTTTACAGAGTTCTAATTGCCCTCTCCAGCTACCTAAGGTATATTAGAAGGAACCATGATCACTTATGCTTTTTTATGCGGATACTAAAACCATGAATGCATCTGGATTTACTTGTCTTTCTAATAATTACCACATGAATGTACACACACTATTGTACAGTCAATGGAGAGACTCTACTCTGAGCTATGACTGACTGTGTCTCTGGAGGATCCCAGCCTTACATGTTACACTCCTTTTTCCTTGCATTCCAGTGCAGAGGGTTACCTGTTTTTTGTTCCACTGCTATTGCTCCTGAACGTTCTTCTGGATGCTCTTACAAATACTGCTGAAGTGTTTGAATCAATAAACAGCTCCTGTACACTGTTTTATTCCTACATATTCTATATGCTCTACATTCTACATGTAAACTTACAAAAAAACCACTTGTGCCTTGGCCAGTTTTCTTCCAGGGTCCTCAAGGCTCAGAAACAGAGTGCCACAGGCTCTAGAGTAAGAAATGATCAATAGAATATGAACTCAGTATTTTTGTTTAACTCACTTATGTCAAAACATTCATATCAAATTATTTGTTTCCTTTCTGTATGAAACAGCATAGCTTGGCTTTGTCTTAGCTTCTAAATGAAAAAGCCACATATAAACCAAGTAGAATAGAGCACACAAGGTAGAGCCTCTAAGCCCGTGCTTTGCTAAAGCACCAGACTTGTATTTCACAGCAAACAATGGTCAGGGTAAAACCCTTTAGTGCTTTTCACACTCCACTGAAATCTGTTCTAGTGTATTTTCTTCATGGGTGTTATAAAGCACATGCAAGAAACAGTTTCTGCATTTTCCAAGTTCGGAGGATGGTAAGACTGGCTCCCTGCAAGCAGGGCTGACCTTTCTAAAGCGTTTATTCTGGCGTACTAGGGGCTGAATAATCGGAGAGACAGACATATAAATAAATGAATCACACAGAAGAATACGAAAATTCCCATACAGGATGTGCCTTTTGCAACATGTTAACCCTTTCTGCAGAAAATTTATGGACAAAGATGTTGTGTTGATAGCTCCAGTCATCTGTGTTAACTCTGCCATAACTTCATCCATGTGGAGTGAACTATGTCTTTAGCAATGTCTGGAATGTTCCCACATCTGCTTAATTTGTTTCAGAAATATCAGCAGTGTCACAAAAATGTTCATCTACACAGGCTTGTACAGGGTTTCAACCTCTAATAAATATTACTACTTATTAATCAGTGACATTCATTTTTGTATGTTTAAACCAATTGAACACAATGAATAACAACAGATACAAGAAAAGTATAATCCCCTCTGCCATTATATTTCTATTTAAACAGATGTTTCCTTTCCTTGTTTTATAGACTGGAAGAAGTAAATTAGTTGCAGAGTTTGACAACACATTTTTTACAGCAGCTTACAAACTATTTAAAATCTCTAAGCAGGAGTATTAGCATTGCATTTGCTTTGGGGCTACCATGGTAGTGAAATAGGTTTACAGGCACTTCCTTAAAGCCTATGAATGATTCAAACCCATTTAATATGTAAAATCGTATATACATGCCCTCCCTCATATATCACATGCTATGCCTATCTGTGAGAAGGAATACCCACCAGCATCTAAAATATAGTTTCATTCTTATTGAGTAGAATTCCAGTTCTGAATGGGATCACTTGCCAACCATTGTAGAAATATATAATCTCTGTTCACAAAGGATTTTTACCAGGGTTGTAAATCAAAAGGCAAAAGGAAGACTGAGTCAATGAATGAGAGTACCAGAAAACCAAGAGAGGCTGTAGTATCCTAGAACACTACGATGCTTAACCACTCTCAATTTTCAGACAACCAGGTATATATTGATCTTATCAGAGTATGTGATTATCCTGTTATATCATTAGTAGTTGGTAAAATCAGCTTGTTCAGTTGATAACTATGCTCCACCCTGATATGCTTTCTGTCCCAACACCAAAAGAATAATGGCTATTACACCACCCTGGGAACAGAATATTAGCATTTATTTGGTGTAAGGAATCCATTCCTAAACCACAACAAAGGTACATTGCCATACTCTCAAATGTACATCTTTCAAAGGAGAATACATTAAACCTTGCATTTAATTCCTGGACTCATATGCAGCACACATTGGGTTAGGTTGTGCAGAAAAGTTTGAAGATGGAGGCACATGAGGAAATCTCCAAAGGTCAGGTCAATCACTAGAAGGAGTTTGTATAGAGGCAGACAACCAATTTCTGGTATGCATGAACAGGGAAAGATTTGGACTGAGAAAGAGTGAACTACAGTTCTTTTGGATATGATTGAAGTATTGTGGTAAATTAACACTCTCCCTCTTTTCCTGCAAGCTACATTCTCATGACCTTTGGTGAAGGAAATTAAAGGAAACTCTATCCTGCTACAACTTTAAACCCCTGCTGTATGGGAGTAAAATTTGCATGGTGTCAAGGACTATCTAGTCTATCAGCCCACAGACCTCTAGATGCTCTTAGTTCAGAAGATTGAACCAAAGATTAATAACATTCAGTCTGCACCCATCCCGAAGCATGTAAGATAAACCATTCAGTGGAGACAGACCAGACCAGAGAGCTCCACATTATGGAAGTGGAATCAATAACTCTTTGTTTCCTTAGATCAGAAGTTTGCTACACTGAACAACCAATGCCCTTTTTTAATTGCTTTTGTCTTTCCCAAATTTGCAACTTCAGCATAGTCTCAAAGAAAACACAGACAAGGAAAAGCCTCTGTAGTGCATGTAACAGCTTGTTCAGTGCCGGGGGAGCGACACTGTGGAATCATAAGAGGACGATGATGTCTCAGAGAAGTCTCCAGATGACGAGGAAACTCAAGTAGGCTAAACCTGTTGGCAAACACATTCTCTTTTATCCAATTCTGCAATTGAACTACTTGGCCCATTAGGAGAATGGCATCAAAATTCAGCCTTCTGTCCTACTTACCTACGTGGAGGTTGGTATTAACCCTCTCATAATATGCTTATGAGGAAGATGCAGGAGACAAAATATCTGTTCCTCACAGTAAAATCTTCACATCAGACACAGTACAACCATATGACTGATCAAGTGAAAAGTCTGGGCCACAAGACACATGAGGAGAGAGTCAAACAATATATGATAAGCTGAAGTCTGTAGAGCAGAAATTCAGGAGAGACATGCAGGAGAAGAATACCATCTTAAGGGGGAGAACTGAAGAAAAGCATGTTTGAAGTTAGAGCAGGAACACAAAGACAAGAAAGTACTGGTCCATTGGTAAATATACCTTGATCTATACCAACTCTGGACTTGAACTTGGTATTACATCTAAAAGAAAAGCAAAGAATGAATAGTGTTTAATTGATTTAAATGAAAGCCTAATACTTAGGAAATGAGAATTGAATTCTGACTAAAAAACTCAACTGTTCCACAGAAGAATAAATATAGATCACATACCCGCAATTTCAATTTCAACCCCCAAAGTAACTCTAGTACTGCCACAGGGTCTAAAAACCCTGCAATACTGCTAGGTGCTCTGTGTGAACCTCTCCCACAGCTCTGTAGATTTGTATGCAAAGAGAAGTAGCAGTGAGAATAAGAGAAAGTTGAAGTACACTGTGGTGTAGTTCCAAGACAGGACCAAACAATCCTCATATTTTTTTCAAAATTATTTGAAAAAAACCCACGACAAAACAAAACAAAAACCAACAATAACAAAACTCAAACAAAAAAACTCCCAACAATGGTAATGACAAAACAGGAAAAGAAATTGAAAAGCAGTTAAGTGGTGCACTCTGAAATGTCTCCGCTGAATTATGATAAGTATGTATTAACTGCAGTATGTTTATCTATGTCCACAAGAGAGGATTAGTTGCAAACATTCTTCTGAGATAAACCAGAACTATTTGGTTCTGGCACTGTTAAATTTTTGTGATATGCAGGTGTTTGGAGTATGCATGTAGCTTCCTCATTGGTTTTGATCCAGGTATTTCCACTGAGAGCATTTTTACACACTACATGTGATGAGGTACACAGAACAATGGCAAACAGTGGCACTTAGTAAGAAATAGCTTTATTCACATTGAAGCTTAAAATAGTTGCATGTGTTAAAGGCAATGAATGTAAATACTCTCTTTGTCAGAAAAACTTGGGGTCGTTAAATTTCACCCACTTCCAGCTGGTAAGCATCCCCACAGGCTGCTCAGTGCAGTGCTTCTTGCAGAGGGATGACAGCACAGCTACCCTATTTCTGCACAGTGTGAGCAGAGATTTAGGGGGCCTGGGAGATGGGAGTCTTGGTTCAAAGGGTAGGGGAAAACAGTCCTCTGCAGTGCCTGGTATCTTTGCAATGCACTCGTGCTGCTCCAGAGCTCTTTACCCCGCTGCAATTTCTGTCCTGCTCTATATGGCTTCACACCAAGCCAAGATCTGCTGCTTGTCACCTCCCACCTTTTCTTGTTCCAAAAGCTCTTCAGCTCAGCTATCCTCCAAGGGCCCCTCTTGATGTGACAGGCCTGGAAGATTTCTCTAGTGACTTTGAAAGGCACCCACCTTCTTTCTGTTTGGTGTCTTTTCTGATGTCCACTGCATCCTTACTGCCCTAAGTAGAGTAGCTGTAATTTAGTAGTAATTTAGGTGTTTATTCCAGAAGTGGTGCTCTATGTGCCATTGAAAATTAAGGTACAATTTTGATAACTAAATTCAATACCCTCAATGCCAACTTAGACATATGAAAAAGAAATCAGTTAGAGAAACCCCCTGAAATTTTACAACTGCACATTTTAACTTCTTCAGTTTTCACTGATAAGCAACATGTTCCAGCTAAAGGATCTTTCTAAATAAACAATTTCCTACCTCACAAACCTAATTCATCCTATCACTTACAAGTATTTTATTCTGTCAAATCACTTACTGTAAATCGTGCTTCTCTTGTAGTTCCTGCTGTCCCATAACCTCTTGGTCTATGCTATACTTCCCTAGGATGCTGGGGCAGTTCTCCACCTTCACACTGATTCATATGTAAGGTCACTATATACTTTTACCCAGGGATCACTGCATGTTTTAATCTTATTGCTTCTTTCTGTAGAAAGCCACATTTTCAACCCCTATGCAATGTGACTTTTTGTTTACATGTTGTTTCCAGTGTTTCAGAGGGTTTGGGTTTTTTAAATCTTCACATGTCAGTGTTCCAGTTTATGAAACTTATTATTGTATTCTATGGTGCATTGAGACACCTTGAAGTCTCCAATTATTTATCTACATGCACTCTTCTCCACTGCACCTGCCTTTCAGCACAGATGACTCCCACTGAAATCTTGAATTGTCCATGAGATCACATTGGTATTTCATGGTTAGTAACCATGAAATGCATTGCTATCTTGTTTTTCTTAAAATCTCAGTTTTAATTTCTCATTGCAGCTGTGCAAATTTCAGATGAAGTCATCAAGGATTTTTTGGCACTAACCTTGAGACGAAAGAAGCGTATTTCCAAACACTAATGATTACAAGTTACTGACCAGTTTCAGTAGACTATGGATCTACTCCTATATCATCACTTCAGTTAATGAGATTTTTACTTCTGGCTATGGCTGAGAGTCCATATGGTTTTCAATAATTGTAAGGGTAGAAGTATTAAAAATTCAGAACAATTACTTCCATTAAATAATACACCTGAAGTGGACAAAGGTTTACCAACACTAATTGCACAGTAATTTTATATATATATATATATATATATGTATGTATAATATCACTTGAAGATAGAGGTCTGACATACTTAATCTGCTCATAATTAAGGGAATAGATTTACTAGTGCTGCCAGAAATTGAAAAGAGCTATAGTCTTATGGAATTTATGGACTTATATCTTCCTGACTTTTATTCTGAATTCTGCAAAGAACAAAAAAAAGTAATTTCAAATGCACCGAATAAAAATACAGCATTAAGATATTCTTCTGTGCACCTTAAAATGACAGAACAGAACAAAATTACCACAAAATCAGTTAAGCAAAACTAAAATAGCAGCACAGACACCTCTGCGGTCTTAATTTTGGAAACTACTTCAGCATGTCCTTTAGCCCTTCCACCCTCAGCATAGTACTTTAGCACACAACCAACTACAGGTCATTGCCAAGTGTTCAGTAATAAACATGGACATCAGAGCTGAGATTGGATGTAATAGAACAACAAAAAAGATCCTCAGCTACTCACTCTGCTCAAGACTCTGGGTCTACCAACCCAAACCATTATCTCCTTTTCATTTAGTCAGTGCTAAAAAACCCTCTGCAAGTCTTTAAGGCATCTTACTGACTTGTCAGGTCTTACCAGCTTCTAAGACTGAGAACCACACTGTATAAAGTGATTTTTAAATCTCTAAACAAATTAAAATAATTAAACAACTTTTTAAAAGTAAAACTTCTTAAAATTTTTGTTTTATTCCTATATTTACATGAGGACTCATGTGCCATGAAATTTCTTCTTGTAAAAGCAATCCTTCCTTTCCCCCAACAACCATTATTCCAGTTTGAATTCACCTGCTTTAATATAGGGGATCAGGACTGCAAATCCCTCTCTGTATGGTCATATTATGTCTTTAGGCTGAGACATGAGGCTCAGTTGACATATCTAAAGGCAGGGCCTTCCACCTTCTTGGAAGCATCCCTTGGATGTCTCAGACATATCCTGAAACTGATGAGAATACCTTTGTCCCTCCACTCTTCTCCCATTTCCTACCATTGAGCTTATCAGAAAAGTTCTTTCCAGTTACCCCTATAAGTGGTTGCACTTGTACATTTTGCTAACAAATTACAGTTCTTTTCTACTATTTCAGTCCTCTAGGTAACACATCTTTCTGCATTATGCTTCGATCCTCTCCATATTGACAAAACCTCCAATTTTGTCTCATTACCACACTGCCACTTTTTATGCCCTTGTCATTACTAAAGCTATTAAGGAAAGACATGAGCAGATGAACTGGTTACCAAAGGGAAAACCAGAACACATCATTTACCGTGCAGTAACTGCCCACGTGCATCCTCCTACCTTTAGTGAAAGAGAGGAGCTGTCCCCTATTTATCAGGGGCTATTGAGGAACAAGTGTGTTGAGAGAAATAGCTACTGTGCTTTAGCTCTAAACTCACACTCTTGCCTGTGATAGTCATGAAAATTGATTTGGTATCCTTAATCAGTCCCTAACGATCCCCTCAAGACTTCAGAGTACCTCCTTCCAGACTGATGATTCCCTTTAAGCACAAGCCGTTGCATGGCTATCTTGCCCTCATTCAGCTCTTTACCTCTTTTGCAAGTTCCCTGCTAATCCCCATTCTCCCTAGAGCAATTAGTAAATTCCAGTGGAGCACTACATTAGGTGCCCTACTGAAGTCCAAGCAGATTTGACCTACCTTTCTTCCTAGTGAAGTCAGCCAGTTATTTTACTGAATAATATCAAGTTAGTTCTGGAAACAAAATTTGCATTTTGGATCAATTAGCTTCATATCTTTGTTTATACTTTCTTCCCAAATTTATTCCAAATTATATGCACTGTTCAGGTAAAACTAATGAAAATGTATTTGCCTAGATCACTTTTTCTCCTTTCTTAATATAGGTTTACACTTCCTATTCTTCATTCATGGTCTCCACCTTTTAAAATAATTTATAAAAGTAAGAGCTATCAAACTATTTTTGTTTCATGGGACATTGATGATTAAGTGCATGTTTCCTCCTTCTCATACTTTGATTCTATCTCAGATGTGGAGATTTCAGATTATCTTCTTTTCTCTTGGATATCTTGATTAATTCTTATTGAATCTTGAAACTTGAAATATTAGTTATTATTGAATAATGATTCAATAATTACTTATTATTGAATCATTATTCAATATCTCTGCCCTAGGCAAAAACTTTAAAAAAATAAAATAATTTTGATTTTGATCCACAGCTAAATTTTAACCTCTACCCCTGCACAGAACTATGGCTTCTTCTATTGCTCTTTTGTTAGCTTTACTGCCAATAACTTCCTGCTATTTCATAGAATCGTAGAATATTAGGTTTGAAAGGACCTCAGGAATCAGCTGGTCCAAACTTTCTTGGCAAACGCATAGCCTAGACCACATGGCCCAGTACCATGTCCACCTGAATATCAAAGTGTCCAGTGTTGGGGAACCCACCACTTCCCTGGGGAGATTATTCCAATAGATGATTGTTCTTGTTCTGAAATATTTTCCTCTTGTGTCTATCCAGAATCTCTGCAGAAGTAGAATCATAGAAACATAGAATGGTCTCGGTTGGAAGGAGCCTCAAATCTTTTTCCAACTCCCCTACCATGGGCAGGGACATCTTTCACTAGACCAGGTTGCTCAGAGCCCCATCTAACCTGATTTTGAACACTTCCAGTGATGGGGCATTCACAACTTTTCTGGGCAACCTTTGCCAGTGCCCTACCTTCACATTAAAGAATTTCTTCCTAATATCTGATATAAACCTACTAGTTTCAAGCCATTCTTCCTTATCCTCTCACTATATGCCTTTGAAAAAAGTCTCTCTACAGGTTTCTTGTAGCCCCCTTCAGGTACTGGAAGGCTGCTGCAAGGTCTCCATAGAGACTTCTCTTTTCCAGGCTGAACAACCCCAACTCTCTCTGTCTTGTTTTGAGCCTCTTTTGCTTTCAATGTATTTGGACCTGATATATTTTCTACACTCCTTTCCTTCAAATTTTTAGAAAGGTTTTGTAGTTTTGATTTTAAAATTTCCCAGAGCTCATTCATATTCAAGACACCTATTCAAAAACCTTTAAATCCAGGTGAATCCACTAATTGGGTTCTTAAACGTCTTAAACAGTAAATAAACCTTACTTAAGCACCTATTTTTATTTAGATTTCATTAAATTTAAAAAGAAATCACTGCTGATTAGGATAGAATATTATTGTCTGAGACCATAATTTTTGTAATGTTCTCCTTACACCAATTCATAACTTCTTGTTGGCCCAGTGATTACGTGGCATTAGGGTAACTAGCATGTCCAGAAAGAGCTGCCCTAGGCAAACCACTCACGTTAGTCCAGCTCCTTCAGCTGTGGCTGAATTCTCCTTTAATGGCACAGCCCTAAGGTTACTGGCAACACTCCCTCTATTCAATAAGTTGTTTATCCATTCTGAATCTGTGTGCTGATTACCACCTTTACTATTATTCCACATGAAAAATAAGGTGTTTATTAACATTCTCAAAGACATATTTATTCCAAATGTGCTATTTTGTGTGCTCTATTCTTTCTGAACTGATTATCACATTGTTAGAATTTAGAGCCTTGCCCTACCATTATTTTTATTTTATTTTTTATTTTATTTTTTAATTTTCCTTGAGCAATTTTCCATCCACTCCTATGGATTGCCACACTCCAAGCCCAGGTTCACTCTAACCATGTTTCAGGTCAAAAGTTTCAGATTTCAGGTTCAGGTTTCACATTTTCAGGTGAATCAACAGTGTGCCCTGGCAGCCAGGAGGGCCAACCCTGTTCTTGGGTGCATCAGGCACAGTATTTCCAGCTGGTCAAAGGAGGTGAATGTCTCACCTTGAGTATCATGTGCAGTTTTTCACTCTCGTGACCAGTGACAGGATTCAAGGAAATGGCATGAAGCTGAGTCAAGGGAGGTTTAGGTTGGATATCAGGAAAAGGATATTCACCCAGAGGGTGGTTGAGCACTGGAACAGGCTCCCCAGGGGCGTGATCACAGCACCAAGCCTGATGGAGTTCAAGAAGCATTTGGACAATGCTCTGAGGCATATGATGTGACTCTTGGGGTTTTCTGCACAGGGTCAGGAGTTGGACTTCATAATCCTGATGGGTCCCTTCCAATTTAGGATGTTCTATGATTCTAGGTTCCATTTATCTCGGTATTGTCAGCTTTCACAATCTGTATCAGGAAAATGTATTTCTCAAGGTTCCTACCTAGATACCTACACTTACTGTCAAACAGTTATCATAAAAGGCACATTTTCTAGTAAAACAGAAAATACATTATAGCCCCCCAGCTACTTAATCTGCATAAATACTCTTCTTCTTCTTCTTAGTGTCCATTCTCCTAAAATCTGCTATTTCTTTATCTATGCATTCAAGAGACCTATATGCATAAGAAGAACTTTTATTTTTGAATTGTAGAAATGACAGAAAGCTGTTGGGATTGATCCATCAGCAAAACGGTTGTCTCGTATAACCATTCGTCAAAATATTTGCTGAATGACTTTTGTTTTTCAATAAATAACTGCAACACAATTTATTGTAAAACGTCTCCACATTTGTTACTCATTTCCATAGTCTGAAAAACAAATTCCTGTGATCAGAAGCTCTTGCTCCAAAGACGGAATTTGTTTTCCTCAGACGAATTTTTGTCATTATTATTGCCAGCAAAATAAATACACTAAAGAACAGCTGAACATAAACCAGAAATGAATTTTTAGTTACAAAATTAAAAATACTGAAAATATTTTCAAAAGCATTTTCTCAGATGTGATATTTTTGTATTTATCTCTTTTGATTCACCCAACATCCAG